CTCTGGTTCTAGACACTATAAATATATATATATAAAACTTGTTATTTATTTATTTTTCTATGTGCAGTAAATTGTTATATTGTGGAAAGTTTGTTTTTAATTAATAAAAGAGGAAAAGAAGCAAACCATGCTTTCTCTGTAATAAATAAAAAAAACTTATTGTTGAAAGATAAAAGCAAACATTAAACCATTATTAAAACTGACAATATATTAGGAAAAGACATGGAACATAAAATTAAAAATTGTTATCAAAATAATCCCTAACCATGGACAACCAGGCAACCTTTAACTGTACCCATTTAGTTAAGGTCAGTTTTGTTCGCAGAACATTAAAACCGAGTAGTTCAGTATTTTATCTTAAAAGTTGCAGAATTACACAAACAGAGCTTTAACTGGGAAATACTGAGAAATGAAAACACTACTTGTATGTAAAACAAGATTCACTTCCAGGACTTTGGAGACGTCCTCCTTTCGTGGGACAGAATTGTACTGTACAGTTTGATGTTGGGTCATGTTGTGATAAATATGATACAATTAGTGGCCTTGACCTCACAGATAAATGATCAAATATATCATGTTACAATCTGGCTAAATGTTCTGCTCAACTTTTCTTTTGTAATAAATTGATAAGAATCACCAAGCTGAGCCTCTGTCATCCCTCTGATTTGACCAAATTCCCACTTGATAAAAGTGAACTTAAATACTCACAGAACGCTCGTCTGCTGGTTTGTCTGATGTTCAGCTGAACGCAGAGCCGAAGACTGAAAGATGAGAATGAGGCGCAGCAGCAAGAAGAAAGGGAGAGTGAGAGTTTACCCTCCCCGCTCAGTTCTACTGAGTTTTCTTTTAACTCCGTTCTGAAACGTCTCCTCAAAGAAAATTGATGCCCGGCCCTCTATTTTCAGCACCTCCTCCCTCCACAAGTTTCCATCCTCTTGTCTTTCTTTCTAAGTTTGTGTTTGTGCAACAAACATTTAGGATCCTTACATTTGATTTTCAAACCATTTTTTTGTGCAATACAAATCTATTTCACCACCTCATGAGTTTTTCTTTTACCCCACTCAAAGTTATGATTTAATGAGAGCAGCTGCAAACATGTTGCAGAAATGGTTATTTCTGGGTTAGCTGGGGCGAAGTCTGACCAAACAGTCTCTGCCTCCCACTGAATCCTCTCTAATTATGCCCAGGGTGATTACAGCCTTACTGTGGAGCGGAGCACGGCAAGAAAACACCAGTTTCAGCCCAAAACACACACACATACAGCAGACATGTAAACTTCATACCCTTTTTGGCGCCCTTGGCTACAAGTTTATAACTGAACATGCAAAGCATTATTAATTTAGTCACTCTCACAGATGTGATGTGACGGATGAAGCTGTTCTGGTAGATTTTAAGTGTGAGCAGGGCTTCATGCTTCTCCAAAGTAATCATTTCTGTTTGCCCATTTTTGTTTGAAAACTAAATGGTGCTAAAAAAGGACCAGAATGTTTAGATTTTGTTGGACTGTTTTCAACAAGCAAGCTTAAAAAGGCCATGTCCAATAATAAAAAAAACTGTTTACTGCAATCTACAGAAAAAGTTACAATTTTCATGAGTTGTGGAATTTAAAATCTGTGGATGCTTCAAACAAGGGGCTAGCAAATGCAAGCAGGGCAACGGAATTAAAACGAGCGCAAAATGAAAACAGAATAAAAGGTAGAAACCAACATTTATATTTAAACCAAATTTGTTATCATGGATTTGTTGTACAGCCTTAATGTTGCCCATCCACTCTGTGGATTATGAGCTTTTTCTGTTATTAACTTGCAATTATTAAACTACATGATGCTGCTGGATTAGGCAAAGAGGACAGTCACTGTGTGGCCCAGGGATGTAGACTCTGTGCTCCAGGACTGTTTTCAGTGCACAGATTGGCAGGTCTTCAGAGAGGTGACTACATATGAGGGGGAGGTGGACCTGGAGGAATACACCTCCTCTGTTCTTGGCTTCATCTCCAAGTGTGCTGATGATGTCATCACCACCAAGACAATAACCTGTTATCCGAATCAGAAACCATGGCTGAATGCTGAGGTGAGAGCTCTGCTGAAAACTAGGGACGCTGCGTTCAGGACAGGTGAGGCACCAGCACTCCGAGAGGCGAGGAAAAGACTGACTGCAACATGTGGAAGGGCATTAAGTGCATTACGAACTACAACATCAGGGATGCACAATGCCCAAGGGACCCCTCATTGCCAGAAGCACTCAATAAGTTATATGCTCGCTTTGAGGATCCTAACACCCTCCCCAAGCATCAGACTTATGCCACCACCCGGTGACATGCTCCTCTGTGATACCACAGCTGATGTGAGGAAGACCCTCCAGGGAATCAACCCCCGTAAGCCTGCAGGTCCCGACAACATCCCAGGGTGGGTACTGAAAGACTGTGCACACCAGCTGTCTGAGATGTTGACAGACATCTTCAAAACCTGACTGTCAATGGCATTAAGTCACCTGTAAGTCACCATTAAGTCATTAAGTCACCAATGGCATTAAGTCACCCACCTGCTTTAAGTCTGCCACTATTGTCCCTGTACCCAAGTACTCCACAGTGACAGGCCTGAATGTACTGACCTATAGCCTTAACATCGGTAGTCATGAAGTGCTTTGAGAGGATGGTCATCAAGAACTCCATCGACGTCACTGTGAACCCACATCAATACGCCTACAGAAGGAACTGCTCCACTTCTGATGCCATCTCATCTGAGGTCCACACAGCCCTCACCCACCTGGAGAGCAGAAATTCTTACATCCATTTGCTCTTTCTGGATTTCTCCTCGGTCTTCAACACCATCATCCCACAGACCCTGGTGCAGAAGCTCTCCTTTCTTGGACTGAGTCTCACACTGGGGAACTGGATTCTGGACTTCCTGACCAACAGACATCAGACTGTCTCGATCCTCAACATCGTCTCCTCCTCCATCACCCTCATCACTTGCAGGCTCGCCCCAGGGCTGCGTGCTGAGCTCCCTCTTTTTCACTCTGCTGACATATGACTGCTCAGCTAGACACCCCAGCTGCCATATAGTGAAGTTTGTGGATGACACAGCGGTAGTGGGACGCATCACGAACAATGATGAGTCCAAATACAGAGAGGAGGTGGAACACCTGGTGCAGTGGTGCAGATACAATAATCTCTGCATCAATGTGAAGAAGACCAAGGATATGGTGGTGGATTTCAGAAGGGACAAGGATCCTCTTCATCCCCTACACATCAGAGGAGCAGCTGTGGAGATGGTCTCCTGCTACAGATACTTGGGGGTGCATATATCCAGTGACCTCACCTGGAGTGCCAACCCTTCCTGTCTGGTCAAGAAGGCCCACCAGTGTCTCTACTTCCTCAGGAAGCTGCGGAGAGCTGGACTTGGGAGCTCTGTCCTGAGGAGCTTCTATTGCTGTGGTGGAGAGCGTTCTGCATCACCGTGTGGCAGTGCAGCTGTGCTGCTGCTGAGAGGATGGCTCTGCAGGGTGGTTAAAGCTGCACAGAAGACTGTGGGGAGCACACTTCCCACCACCACGGACCTCTACACTTCACAATGTAGGGGGAAGGCGCTCCGCATCATGAAGGACTCCACTCATCCTGCACAGTCTGTTCCAGCCCCTCCCCTCAAGCAGGTGGCTGAGGAGCATTCAGAGCAAGTCCACCAGGCTCAGAAACAGTTTCTTCCCTGCAGCTGTCAGACTGCTGTACTCGAGCTGCACTTAATTCAGCTTCATCGTGCATTTTTTTAACTTTATTTATTTACACACACACACACACACACACACACACACACACACACACACACACACACACACACGCTGGTCATAAAATTAGAAGATCATGAAAAAGTTGATTTATTTCAGTAATTCCATTCAAAAAGTGAAGCATATATCCATTCATTACGCACACAGATATATTTCAAATGTTTATTTCTTTTAATGTTGATTATTATAACTGACAACTAATGAAAACCCCAAATTCAGTATCTCAGAAAATTAGAATATTACTTAAGACCAATTAAAAATATATATTTTTTAGAAATGTTGGCCAATTGAAAAGTATGAACATGAAAAGTATGAGCATGTCCAGCACTCAATACTTAGTTGTTGCTCTTTTCACCTGGATTACTGCATCAATGCAGCGTGGCATGGAGTCGATCAGTCTGTGGCACTGCTCAGGTGTCATGAGAGCCCAGGTTGCTCTGATTGTGGCCTTCAGCTCTTCTGAATTGTTGGGTCTGGTGTATCATCTTCCTCTTCACAGTACACCATAGATTTTCTATGGGGTTATGGTCAGGCGAGTTTGTTGGCTAATTAAGAACAGGGATACCATGGTCCTTAAACTAGATACTGGTAACTTTGGCACTTTGTGCAGGTGCAGAGTCCTGCTGGAAAATTAAATCTGTATCTCCATAAAGTTGGTCAGCAGCAGGAATCATGAAGTGCTCTAAAACATCCTAGTAGATGGCTGCGTTGACCTTGGACCTCAGAAAACACAGTGGACCAACACCAGCAGATGACATGGCCCCCAAACCATCATTGTGGAAACTTTACACTGGACTTCAAGCAATGTGGATTCTGTGCTTCTCTGCTCTTCCTCCAGACTCTGGCACCTTGACTTCCAAAGAAAATGCAAAATTTACTTTCATCCGAGAAAATAACTTTGGACCACTCAGCAGCAGTCCAATCCTTTTTGTCTTTAGCCCAGGCAAGATGCTTCTGACACCGTCTCTTGTTCAAGAGTGAATGACACAAGTAATGTGACAGATGAACCCCTTGTCTTGCATACGTTGGAGCATGGTGCTTCTTGAAGCACTGATTCCAGCTGCAGTCTACTCTGTGAATCTCCCTCACATTTTGGATTGGATATTAAGGAGTGTTGTGCCACACTTTTCTTAGACCCGTCTAAAGTTTTTGACACTGTGGATCATGACATCTTGTGTCATAAGCTATCAGAAATTGGTCTTGCAAATCTTGCAAAAAGATCTGAAGCTCTCGACCTTGACCTCTCAAAGTGGCTTTAAGAATCTGTTGGACTCCTGGCAGGGACCAATGCAGACATGTTCCTGTTTTTAGCTTTCCACATTCGCCTTATTATCTAGCTGTTTTTTGCTACTATTCCTCATGAATGCCCTTTTGGTTGCAATTTTGTTTTGTTTAATAAAAAAAAAAAAGAAACTTAAATTTGTATACCTATGAATATTTTATGACTGTCTATTGTTGTCATTGTTATTCACTGTTGTCATCACTCTTTGTTAAGACATCAGGTCTCTCTTGTAAAGGAAATGTAAATGGGATTAAACCGTCTAAATAAAGGTTGAATAAATGAATGAATTTTGGAATGGGTTTCGTTTCACAAGCATCTCAAGGGTGCACTTATCCTTATTGCTTGTACACTTTTTTCTGCCACATCGTTTCCTTCCCTTCGCCTCTCTATTAATGTGCTTGGACACAGAGCTCTCTGAACAGCCAGCCTCTTTAGTAATGACCTTTTGTGTCTTGCCCTCCTTGTGCAAGGTGCCAATGATCGTCTTTTGGACAAATGTCAAGTCAGCAGTCTTCCCCATGACTGTAGCCTACAGAACTAGACAGACCATTTAAAGGCCTTTGCAAGTGTTGAGTGTTTTAATTAATTCAACCTTTATTTAAACAGATAAGTCACACTGAGCCTTGAAGACATTTACAAGCGTTAATTAGCTGACTAGAGTACCAGGTCTCTTCAATATTGAATCTTTACACAATATTCTCATTTTCTGAGATGCTGAATTTGGAGTTTTCATTAGTTGTTGGTTATAATCAACATTCAAATAAATAAACATTTGAAATATATACATCTGTGTGTAATGAATGAATATAATATACAAGTTTCACTTTACTGAAATAAGTCAACTTTTACATGATATTCTAATTTTATAACCAGCTCCTTGAACGAATATAAATGCTCAGACAAAATAATTTGCAATACACACCATATCTGTTTAAAAAACACATGTAAAAATGATACACAAAAAAGCCCCAACATTTTAAAAATTCTTTATTAATTTTCTTATAATCAACGTTTTGATACTTGAAGCAAGAATATTGAAAAAAAAATGCTGAGCACACCTCAACCAGGTTCCTGGTTGGGTTTTTGTCTCACTTCTTGATTTTAATGTGGAACTGAGGTTCTGATTTTCTCATCTTGGCAAGGTGCAAGGAACAAAAACGGGGGGAGGGGGGACACATTTAAAACCCACCACCCATACAAATCCCCTCTTCAGCACAACCACAAAACAAAGAGTTAAAAAAGGTATCCGATCATATTTACACAACTTTCACTCCTTTTGCTAGACCTCAGTTACAAACATACATCTACCATTCAACTGAACATTTATTCAACCTACTCAGTCCCTTTGGATTACTTTTAGCTACTACTCAAGTTTATTTTGTGCCGACAGTGCTATAAAACAATCTAGTGTGGCAGGATATTGTTTTAAACCATTCTGTAAATGCTTCATCTCAATTTGTCTTCATCCAACTGACCTACAAGGCTGTGAAGTCAAGACATTCTTGGTATAACTTTAAACCATGTTTTGATTCAAACAGCCTGTACCAAGGTAAAAAATGTCAGTGGATCAATGCTCCTAGTAACATGTGACCCAAAATGCTGTCTGTGTAGAGTCATATGGACTGGCAGGAATTAACAAAATCCTCCAGCACTTATGGAGCACGGTGTTAGCAAAATTTATAGCACCTCAAAGCGGTTGTCAATCCAGGCACCTCTTCTCGTTACAAAAACTCCTCACAGAACAGTCTCCAGTACACTTCCAGGGTTTCCTCTATGGCACTTTCAGGTCTTTACAGTGTTGACAATTAACAAAGGCAAACAACAGACTGAACCAATACCCGTCTCAGCTTCCCACTGGGAAACAAATCTAAAACATCAGAAAATAGAGCTTTTGTTGTGGAGCAGATAAGAGAATTTGATGGTTTGTGGATTTGTATTTATAAAGGGACAATGGAGGGGAGGAAAATCTTCAAAATAACTAAAACGTGGAGGTGCTTAGAGGGGTATAAGCACAGTTGGAACAAGAAACAGGTTAAAAATAACAGGGGAGTGGCATCTCAGCTATTCCATTTCTTCCAGTTCCAAGGTCTTCAACCATCATAACCTCTTTGATAAACAAAAAACACTGAACATCTTGAGCGTCAGGAACCTAAAGGCCAAAGATATGAAGATATATTCTCAGTCTTAGATTTTTAAGGTCCATCATGAACCATTCCTGCAGTAACAGCCAGCTTTATCAACAGATGGTTTGGAACAGTGATATGTGATAAATGATATCATTTGCATTTCTGACTGTATGGAAGATAGTGATTCGAGTTGGCAATTTTATGCAAACAACAACAACAACAAAAAACAGGAAAATCTGACTACAGTTGTGTATTAAGCAGCAGTGATGTTGGCGACTGCACTTTTGACAAAACCCAAAAGCTTTTCAGCAAAAACAAAAATCCTCAAGTTAGTTTTGTCCACCCAGTGTGCAGCAGATCAGGACATTAACTGGTCACTGAGTCACTGCAGCAGTGTTTACAGGAAGAGGAAGTTGGAATTTTAACAATGAGATTACTGGAAGTTTTTGTTTTTTTTCCAATAATTATAAGGTCCAGGTGTAAGAAGAAAGGAGGAGTATTATGAATGCTTACATTAACTGAGGTGTCAAGAGTCAAAACATGACAAAAAATAAACAAAAATGACAGAAAGCTGTTTGTTCAGCTTCAATACAGATGGTGGTCATTTAGGGCATGTTTAAATGTTTGATGTTGACTGTGGCAAACTGGAATGTTTTTGTTTTTAGTGAAGTTTAAATATTCATATTCAATATTTATTTTAAGCAAACTTTAGCTAGCTAATTTGTATCTCATAGCGTTTAAGTGCTAACATAATCCCCTTTACATAAACAGTCAACAACGTCAAGTTTTCCTGTTTTTGCATTTTGAGCAGCTGTGGAGTGACAGAAAACAAAATACTGTTAAAGAGAGGTAAACAAAATTTGAGATTTGGCAACAGTTTCATTTTGGGACACGACATAAAACATTAACAACCTGCTTAAAAAATGACATCTAAAGAAAATGGGAATGGTTGTGGATGCTTGATTATTATTATTTTGGGTCATTCTAACATAAGAATGAAGACCTTTTCATCCGACTAGGTGAAAATAAGACTGCTGCAGAATAAAAGGAATCGAGTCCTTTGACACCAAAACACAAAAGCACTTTCTGCTAAATTTACCACATCCTTCTTATTCCACCTGTGTTAACAGAGGGTGGGGGTGGGGGGTGGGTTGGCTAAGAAAAAAAGTTTATCTGGAATGTTGCTGGGGGTTGTTGCTTGGCAGGACTCAGTCCAAACACTGTCATTGAGATAGGCAGTGACTGTTCCCGCCCAATCCCCAGCCAATGGAAAGTCCTGAACTGTGGCGGGCCGGGGCACGGGGTACTTAAAGGGCAACTTTGGACATTTGCTCTTCAAGTTTGATGATTCGCTTCTCCTGACTGCTGATCAGGTCCTTGAGGGATCTGATTTCTTTCAAGATCTCCTCCATCTTTGCTTCAGATTTCTGGAGAAAACACGACAAACTTTTTAGACATCAGCTTGGACTTTTTTAAATGAAAACAAAGTTAGCAGTAAAACAAATCCTGTCACATCTGTAATGAGGTCAAATGTCAGGTCTCAAAAGAGCAAAATGCAAAACCCAAGTCAAAATGTAACCATAAATTCTGACTTGATGTTGACTGATTACAGAGGATTGCAGAAAAACATGTACATGGATGTGTTGTGGGCGAGAAGCAGCAGTAGTACATATGTTTGTGGGTCACAAAGCAGGATAAACATTTTTAAAGCTCTTCATGCAGACTGCTGCTTGTTACGATTCAAACTGGTTACTGATGAGATGTGCTATGCAGCTCTTCAGATATACGACTAAAATCAAGAGTAACATTTATGTCACACTCCAGAAAACATGAGGAAAAAGCAAAAGCACTTACAATTGTTGGAGTTGGGGAGGCAGACTTGTTGGCAGGGCTCGAATGATCCGTCTTCTTGGTGACCTTGCTGTCCAGAATGTTCTTCTTGACCACCTTAAACTCCCGGTTCTTGCCCGGGACGTAGCCGTTCTTCAGGGAGATCAGGATGGGGTCTCCGTTCTTGCCCTCAAACCATTCCTCAGCCTCCAGGGAAGGGTCTGGCCCAGCTGTGTCTGGGTACAAGTCATCCTGGAACAGGTCCGACTGAAGGGGAAAATAAAACATTTAAGGACCAAGGTTTTACCCAGAAGAATACAAGACAAACTGTAAGTATAGCATCAAATAACAGGATGAAAGGATGTATTTTAGGGTGGACTCACCTTTCGAGGTACAGTCATCACAATGGGCTCACACTTTCTTTCATGCAGTTTATAGAACCTAATAATACAAAAATACAAAACACTTTCTTTAAAGTCCGATACATTTCTTAAACAACAAAAATAACAGTTTCTTGTGAATCTGAACTGACTCCATTCTGCCACCTGGTGGTAAAACCAGGAAAAATTTTGAACTAGACAAATTATTCCTGATGTCACAAGCTGTTTAGCTATATCACCTTGCAATTTCACACTTGTTCACATCGAGGCCCCTCTTGGCCATGTAGCCCATGCCCCTTTGAGGCTCCTTGGTGACAAAGGTGTTGAGAAAGTGAACATATGGAGCTTCCTCCGTGATTTCAAAGTAACGGATGCTGCTGTCTCCCTGCAAGAAGACAAAGATGTGTTTTATTTCTACTGTTTGGAGTTCTTTGTCCCTTCTTCTTAAATGCTTCACTGTTTAACTAGTATGTGTGTAAAGTTCACACACCTTTCCACAGAGGTAAACCATGTTGGTGTCTGGATCGTAGAAGGGCAGAAGAACTCCATTGCTGGTGTCCATCTCATTAACAGTCATGGGCTCCTCCATGTTTTGCTTAAAAAAAAAAATAAAAAAAATAAATCAGAGCTCTGCTTTTAAAACATCTGCTCTGTATGTAAGGTTTATTCAAAGGTTGTTAAAGACAATAAAATGTTGTTTAAAACTGATTGTAACATAAATAAAACAAGAAAGTACAGTCATTTGAAATCAGGACTGAATTCAGCGTTTATGAAGCAGCTCACCACGTCCCAGAGAGCCAGCTGTCTCTCACTCATACGACTGAAACCAGTGGTGAGGACGTTGCCATCAGAAAGGAAAATGGCTCTCATGGGTCGAGCTCCCTCATGTGCCTTCTCCTTCTCCTGTGGAGTCAACATCAGAAATGCTTCAGTAATTTCTTCTCACCACAGTCCCTCTCTGACACAAGCTCAGTCAGTTTACAACACTTGGCACAAATGAAACAAAACATTTTAAATTACCAATATCAATGACCAGATTAAGGACTTTTTAATCTCAGTTTTGGCTGCAATACACGAGTGCACAATATATAATTTAAGCATTAACACTGATGTGTTCATGTGCAATAATAATGTCACAAAATTAAGGCAAATTACCTTAAACTCATCTTGAACACATTCTTACTGAATAATAAAAAACAGTGTAAATAAAAAAAATTAAAGCAACCATTAAAATCTAAATCTGATAAATTATCCTTTCATCAGGATTAAGTGCTCTTGAAAAGACTACAGTAATCTAGTTTTGTATTTGTTTTCAAAACAATAATGTTCGGAGCACTGCAGTACAGAGGAAAGAGAGAAATCCAAAACACAAGTATTTGGTTGCTAAAGGAAAAATGTCAGTGGTGAAAAGTTTCTTAAAAACTAAAACATTGGGTTCTTTAGAAACTCACAGCAACAATCGCCTCCTTGCGGGGGTCGATGACACGGATGGACTTGTCCTTGCAGGAGGTGCAGATAAGGCTGCCATTGCGGTTCCAGCTGACGTTGTAAATGACATCAGGGTGCATGTCTTCTAGATTGATCATAGCCTCGCCCGTGCCCACGTTCCAGATGATAATCTGGTTGTCACAACCTGGAGATAGGCAGAGTCAGCAATAAACTCACTCAGCAGATTATGTTTTTGATCTAGCTGCTAAAATGTCATCTTCAACCTGAGATCTTACCTGCACTAAGGAGGATGTTACGTGCAGTTGGATGCCATGTGATGATGCCCACACGCTTCGAGTGGCCTTCCAGAACCACCACGGGCTCAGACATGGAAGTGACGAGGCCATTCTCGGGAATCTGCCATACCTATAGAGAACAAACATGAAACTCTGGAAAAACTGGACAGTAACATTCTGTGTAGCTGCAAACATCAGTCTGATCATTACTAAGAAACGCCTGAAGAGGGCAGCAGTGACCAGTACTTCTCAACATGTTTAGTGGAGAAATGTACAACTACCAGTATGTTGAGGAAATGAGAGGCACAGCAACATACCGGTAGTTGTCTGTTCAGTTTATTTTAATCTAAACTCCAAACTGCATCCATTTAGTCACATTTTGCAAATATTTTTGGAGATTAACTTTTACAAAATAAGCTGATATGAGTTATTTTTCCTTTATCTAATTAGTTTATTTTCATTGTAGATATGACTTTCAGGTTATTAGAGCATTGAATGTTCTTTTTAAAATGTGTGACACCAGCAGATAATCTGAGTTTTAACAAAGCACAAATCTTTGCACATTAAACACAGAGCAGGGAGAGAAATTTTGAGTAAAAAAATAACATATTTCATGTTTGACTTTCTGTGCGTAAGAGCATCAGCAAGAAAAAAAATAGTCCCGTCTCCTTGACAGGAAGCTTTAAATGTCTAATACTTCTGGTAAAACAACTATCTGATTTAAACAATAAATGAACAGCTGCAGAGATAGACATGTAAAAGCAAACATTTTCAGAAGGGGCTTCATTTTCTTCAGTCGGCTGCGCTCTTCTTCAGGCGTCGCTACAGCGAGCAAGCTTGCAAGAAGACTTGGCAAATGGCTTTACGTCAGATACCCTCCCTGTTGCAACCACAGCCCTCTGTGTTGAGCAGACGGATGCTATCCAAGCTGCCCAGGGAGCAGCTGGGAGATTAAGGAGGGGGACATATAAGAATGGAGGCAGGGTGGGTGCTTCACCTTTCCCACCCACATTTTTGTTGTCAGCAGGTTCAAAACGGCGACCTTCCAATCACAGACTCACCTTCTCTAACCTCTAAGCCACTTCTCCTCCTCCGCTTTCAGAAGAGGCTAAACCAACACATTTAGATCATATCATCTGGCTAGACTGTTAATGTTGCTTACAACATTTATACATAACACCCCCTACATTATCCTGTTTAAACTTTTCTTTAGAAAAGACAGCTTAGTGGAAGTGACACTATTGTGCCAACCAGTCATCTTCACACTTTTGTATTTATTCTACCAATAATGTTCAACTGATGAATGTCCCATAATGAACAGATGTGTATAATGCTAAAAGATTCCAACAACCACTTCTTGCGGATTGTTGTTTAAAGTCTAAAACTTATTTTCATCTTACCTGTATGGATGGCCAAAACAAAGTTACTGATATTGAAGTCCATAAATTAGAATGTAAAAAAAAAATACAATTATAATAATACATAAATAAAAGCTAGATCTGATCACTCCCAACTCATCTAAACAGTAAGTGCTACAAAAAGCAGAATCGATTGATCTCTCTCTTCATGGCTTACACTTCTGTAAACATAAATACTACACTGAATTAAACCTTAAACAGGATGTTTTGACTTTCAGGTAAGGAAGTGATGAAAATTAATCTGAGCCCAAATAAGGACACGTGTAGGAAAGACCAACAAAAAAGCAGTCTCAGAAAAGGCAGTGACCTCAGCTCAACAAACAGCTAAATCATTCCCCAGCTCTGTTTCCTACAACACATATTTGAGCTTAATCTAATCCAGAGGGTGAGGCCTGCCACCAAGCCTGGGTTACAACAGCCTGGACTGTTGCAATAAAGGCATCAAGTCTCGTCACTTTATAGCTTAATGATTCTGCCATTTTATCTAATTACAAGTGTGGTTTGTGAAGTAAACCTTACCATCACTGTGCAGTCCTCGGATCCGCTGGCAATGACCTGGTCATTGTGGGGGCACCAGTCAATGTCTAACACAGGGCCTGTGTGACCACATACTGTTGGGTAGGACTTGTCAATGCGTCCTGTCTGGAAAAACAAGAGTAAAAAATAATATTACAGTGATCTGTGTTTTTGAAACGGTATAATTATGACATACGGGTAATCTTAAACCCCACCTACAAACAAATAAAAGAGCTATATCACAAACTTGAACACTTCAAGTATTAAACAAGTGATGTGAGAAAGAGGGGAGCTGCATGTTCAATGTTATCAAATTGCACAAACAAAAAGGCACAACAGCACTGATTTTGTTTTTACCACCTTTCACTTTTATTTGTTAGTAAATTCTCTCCTGCAGCACATTTTAAAAAAATATGAAGCAAAGATATTTAAACTAATTTGAGATAAATGCTATTATTTTGTTTGATTACAACACAAATAAAAAATAAATAAATAAAATAACTAATACCACTAATACATAGTTTATTACGTAATTGAGCCAGAAATGTATGGAAAAAAAGAATAACCTCATTTTTGTTGTTTGGAAGTTTTTAAAAACAATTCAGTTGTATAAAATGGATTTGGTCCCATAAGAATATTTAAACAAAACAATTGTATACATAAATAAAGCATGTATGAAAATACCCAATAGTTTTAACTATTAAGTCTTCATCAGTTCTGTTGGTTTACTGTAATGGAGCGAGTTTGTGTGCAAGAGTAGCAAACAGTCACACTTGAACATCCAGAGATGTAAGGAAAGTGATCAGGTGTGTACAGACATCTCTCTTCCCCTGCAGCTCACTTGGTTTAGGTGCCATGACATCTGAGCAATCTAAACTGTAAACTGTAGTCAGAAGGTTGCAGTGCCAGTTGTTACTCGTTCTAAAGAAATGAGTGCACCTTAATGGATTTTTCTTCTTCTGATATTAAATTTTCCATCAAGTTTTAATACAATAACCTGCAAATACAGGTGTTTGTGGTAACACGACTGCTGATTATTAAAACAAAAAAATAACCTCTCGCCCTAAACAAACACTGTTAAACAAAGTCAAGAGTAATGTCAATATACAGTAGATTCATGTAAAAAAATAATAATAATTACCATAGGTTTTCTTCTGAACTAGTAACCCCAAACAAAGCCATAAATTGTACCCTCTCTTATACAAGTAGTGTAACAAAAAACATGACTTTATATCTGAAACCCATGAATGTGGAAACAACATGCTCTCAGTAAAGTGGAAGAGGATTTAGTGAGTGTGTTAACACACACGTCTGTGTTGAGTCCCACCACAGGGACAGATGAGGTCACCCACTGTAGCAGCTCTTTTCAAAGCCTGATAGTCTTTCCAATACAAGAAACAGCTCCACACTACCTGCTTCTACTTTAACATACTAGAAAACGCACCCGAGAATAGAGACGACCTACTGAATGAAGGAACGAGTTATGAGGTACAGTGAAAACGAATATTTAAAACTCAGGGGAGCATTTGTCAAAGTGATTACTCTAACAGTGAGCTCAACTGATTTGCCCCTTGAGTGGGTAACTAACGCATAAGCACTGGACAGGAACAAATTGGTTTTTGAAGCATTAGGTTTCCTATCAGGCATCTGGAAGGCTTCACCGACCATTTCTTGTTCAGTCTTTAATTACTTTGCAGCTATACGTCTCCAGCAACAACTCCCTGTTAAAGCACCACCAGTCTAGTATACTTTCCAGATCTTCCTCCTGTTTAAATGCTTCTTTATTCTTCAGAAGAAAATGAACTTCAGTTTGTGCAACACTGGTGAAATGAATTTCTGTGTAAGAGTCCAGATGGTTATAGTGGTCTGTCAGGCTGGGTCACTGGTCAGCACAAATACTTTAAAAAATGAAAATAAAATACTGAAGAAAAATTATCCCTACTTGTTTGTTTGCCAGCAGTATTTGTTGACAGAAAATAAATGTCTTTGTTTACATGTTTCGATTAAAATGAGGTTCAAATGGATGGTCACAGTTTTACAATAAACAGACGCAAGAAATAAAAAAAGGGAAAAAATACTGGAAAGTATGAGGAATTAAAATAACACCACCATGTTTATTCTCACCTAATGTGACCGCAAAACATCCAGAAATATCAATACGGTAGGGAGTGGTCCAAGCCAGTTGTAAAAACTTTTAAACATGGCAGTCCTGAAGTTTTAGTTGGTCTCGTTGCCTTCCATAACCCTGCCTCCGACGCCTGCTTTGATGGCAACAATAACCCGTTTAATGTAAGGCACGAGCTATGAACTAGAACATCATCTTGTGGATTAGGCCTTTCATTTGGTACAGTACAGTAATGAATGTACTGTACTTAAAAATGTAAACTCACAAGACAAAAACTAACATTATCAGGTTTTAGCTGTGCAAAATTCTGGCAGACACTTCTGGAGCGCCATGTACAAATCTCATTAAAAAAAAAGTGATCAAAGTCTGCAATATGCAAAAATAACGTCTGCTTGAGGACATGCAGTCTGTGGAAAAAAAAAATTACAATCTCTCATCTACACCTCGGTGCAAATCTATTGAACACGCCATGAAACCTACATCTTGAGCGCTCAAGACTATGATGTCAAAAGGGTTCTACGAGCCACCATTCAGCAGGTAACACTAATGCAATGAGATCCAACAAAAAAATATTTAAGATTATGAGGAAAATGTTAAAGCAGGCATAAAATCTACCCATGTTTAGTTCACATACAAATAAAAACATTTTACTGCTATACTTAAGTCAAAGTAGTCTTATATTAGATTTACAGAAGGCAGGAGGAAGAGGATGTAACACAGGAAGGAAATAGGCTGATGACCAGGTGATGGCAAGAGAAACTGCATAAACAAGTCTAAAAGCACAACAATGTCCTCAAAGACAACCATTTAATTAAAAAAACAACATAATATTTATAGCAATCATCACACAATATTTGAACATTACAAGTGTAAATCATGGTTGGTCTCATTCACAAGTTGCTTACCCACAAAAAAGCAACAAGTAATGAGTGGTTATTGAATAGTTATTGCCTAACCAGTTTAGACTTGTAGGGTTGATGTTTCAACATCAATTTGTGCTGAACACATATTTACACATTGCCACTGCCAAAGACCTCAAAAGATATGTGGGCAAAAATGTTTGCTTTAAATTATTCAAGGTTTAAACCTTGAAACTTTCAATTCTCAGCTGCTTTTTTTAAAGTCAGTGTAAACAGCAGAAGGTGTTCAAAACAGATTTTTAAACGTTATGAATAAGGACAGCTGAATAAATGAATTTTAAATGAACCAAGCTGATCTCTTAATTAGGTTCAGAGGATCGTCTCAGAGCAGGAGTTCAACCAAAGAACGAGCCTCCACCCACCACATTCCTTGTCTTGGCCTGTCTTGGCCCAAGGCAGCGATGATATAAGTATGACTAATAAGAGCAAGTGGGTGTTAAAACACCACCCATTAATGTGGTAATGGTATTTGTGTCTGATTTACACAACAGATTTTAGTCTGAAAAACAAACAAGGGCATCATGTCTCAGGCATCATGATACAGGGCCACAATAAAGCACAAATGGTGATAAAAACAACAAACGAACATCACAATCCAAGATACAAGAAGCTTTGCCTGCTGTCCTTCTTAAAACGGTCAACATGTCAAAGTCTGTCATAAATTACGTAACGTTGCTTCAAGACAAAGACTTGCATAATTCTAACAAGAAAGACTAAATCAAGACAATAACTAAAATGAAGCAATCATTGGAAAACTTTCAGAAACTATTTGCACAAATTCAAGACAGCCTTATAAAACAATATTTTTGGTTCCATTAGAAGCTAATGTCGGGGACATCGACTAGAACAGGAGTTCCCAACCTTGATCCTTGAGGAACACCATCCTGCATGTTTTAGTTGTTTCTCTACTCCAACACACCTGATTTTAATAAATGGGTGATTTACAGGTTTCTTCAGAACATGACGAAGTAATTAAATCATTGGATCAGGTGTGTTGAAGCAAGGAAACGACTAAAACATGAAGGATGGTGTTCCCCAAGAATCAGGGTTGGGAACCACTTAACTAGAAGATGGATTTAAAGCTTTTTCCAGTACATCTGCCCAGTACAATAGAGCACTGAGAAGGAAAGGTGTGATTTCATTAATGTTACTGAAATTAACGTAAAAAAAAATGCCACAGACTTCACATACTAGTGTTCAGAAGAAAAAAAATAAACAAACACCTACACAAAAATTAGCAACTACATTATAATTTCAACAAAGCTACAAAGCTACAAATCAGTCAGATTAACATCATAAAAAGCTTGTTTAAGTTGGGTCTTTTGTACACAAAGCATTGCACACACAAAAATAAATAAATAAATAAATCAGCAGTGATTGTAAAGCCATAATTACAGAACAGGATTATGGACCACCATTGTAATTTTTTATTTTTTCTGACTTTTTGCTCAGAATTCTGAGATGTATTTTTGTACCGTGGCCCTAATCCTCTTCTGTACATAACACCTGTCAATCTATGCATTTGTTTTATGTCTGACTTGAATTTTTATGCCTCCAACACATTTTCTACATCATCAAATGATTACTAATGCAACTTGGTCCGTTTTAATAAAAAACACTTAAAAAAAATGGCAAATATTTGACACCTTTGTTTACCACCTAATTTTAGGATCAGTTAGAGAATTCTCCCTTTAGAGCTCATCTCAGCTCATTTTCATATGATCTTAGCTTTAAGTTACACTTTAACGCTCTCCACCACTCAAGTTCTTCCCTCAAAACACTTTTCCTGTCAGCTTTCATCCTTGGAAGCATTTAGTTGCCATTACTTTTCAGAAAATGAGATAATTTACCTTTTTTACTTTTATACTGGTGTCTAAAAATCCATTATTCACCCTCTGACTCTGTTCACATCTGAGGATTATTTTACCAACTCTGTTGTGCTTGTCCAAAGTGTACTTGATAATGAATGTAAAACAACTCATAATTGCTGGCCACAAAACCTAAATCTGCCGATTTAAATTTATTTCAGATTATGCATACTTGGAAGTTAATTATGTTTATTAGTGTTTATTTTTCATCAC